ATTGCCAGGTCATTTGTCAGCACAGAGAGCAGAACTAGAAGCATTAAAAACAGTACTGACACTTGAGGAAAAAGAAGGGCGTCCCCTAGTGATATATAGTGATAGTTCATATGTGGTTAGATCACTAACAGAACATTTAGCTATATGGAAAAGAAGAGGGTTCGTAGATGCCTCAAATAAAGTGTTAGCACACAAAGAGACACTAGAGACCATATTTGGATTTGCGTCTCAAGAGCCATGTTTACATGCTATAGTTAAAGTTCCTGCCCATCAAAAAGGTAAAGATTTACTTAGTGAAGAAAATGAAATAGCTGATAAATTTGCAAAAAGAGCAGCTTTAACTGGTGAAAATGCATTGCAGACAGAGCCTATGTCAGTAGCAGTGGTTAGAAAGACTAACACACAGCCTCCATCTTTTGCAGAAGAACAGGCAAAGGATTCGTCCCTTGCGGCTTCTCGGGTTGATCCAAAACCTCCATTTGTTCATGAGGGGTTTTGTGTCATGACCAAAACGGAGAACTGTGTCCGGTCATGCCAGAACATCTAAAAGTGTTATTTACACAATATAATCATGAAAGTTTAGGTCACATTGGACAGCAGAAATTGTTAGAGGTACTCAGAGATAAGTTTTATTGGGATAACATGGAAAAGACTGTACAACAGGTAGTACAATCATGTTTGATATGTGCACAAATAAATCCCAGACCTAAAGGACAAAAACCGCCTATACAACGTATAGCACCTGCAAATGGTCCTTGGACTACTTTACAAATTGATTTTATTGGGCCATTACCAACAGGCAAGAATGGATTAAAATATGCGTTAGTAGTTGTGGATGTATTCTCTAAATGGTTAGAAGTAATTCCTCTGACTAAAGATGATTCACAAAAAACAGCTGAAGCATTATGGACACACATTTTCTCAAGATGGGGATTTCCTAGACTTCTAGAGTCAGACAGAGGTACCCATTTCACAGGGAAAATCATGCAAGCACTGTGTGCTATTCTAGGCATAGAGCAGAGATTTCATGTTCCACATCATCCTCAATCTGCTGGGATTGTGGAACGTATGAATCGAACATTGAAATCTAGACTTTCAAAAATGTTACTTGAGAAAGGCAACACATGGGTACAGGCACTTCCTGCTGTACTTATGGGTATTAGAGGCACTATGTCTTCAGCTACACAATACACTCCATTTGAATTGATGACAGGTAGGAAAATGCAGTTAAATTTTCCTAATGAACCATATTTGTCTACTCCACAGAAAGATGCAATTGCTAAAAATAAATGGTTGCAAATGCTGCAGGAAAATTTGGAGCAAATTCTTCCACATGCAGCTACTCGTATGTGCAAAATGGCACCTCCTGATTTTTCAAAGTTTTTAAAGGGGGGTATGGTCATGATAAAAACTTTTAGGAAAACTGGACCTTGGGAGGCAAATTGGGAAGGTCCTTATAACATAACAGATACAATGGGACAAACAATGGTACAAGTGCAAAGACCTCTTGATGGTTCACGGAATAAACGGAGGCAAAATTGTTTTTGGGTTCATGCAGATCAGTGTAAATTGTATAAACCTACAACATAATTTGGTAAAATATTGATACTGCTTTGTTTTTCTTAGTTTATTTTAGATAATTTGTAAGCAGACCTACAGACGAAAGTTGGCCGGTGACAGACGATGTGTTCGCAAAGACAACCGTGTAGTAGAAAGAAGGTGTTCGTCAGCATCCTGCTAACATTGATGACTACAGTTCTTGTAATAGTTATTTTTAAGATGAACAAAACGACTTTCAATCAGGAATTAAAGAATGACTTATTTGGAAATATTAGAAAAAAGAGAGACAATGAACAAGTATTAAAAGGTCATGTTTGTTTCGGGACAAAAGATGGTTATCTACAAGTATGCAATGTGCGAATTAATTTCACTGGAGATAGTGTTATTAATTTAAACATTACAATAGGTCCTAATGATTTATTTAGTTGGACCAAAGGTTCATTTGTACAAGACAATGTAAAAACGGGATCATGGGAACTTAACATATTACAAAATGCATATATCATGATTGTAGTTAATGGAGAGGAAATGGTAAATTGGTCAGGTGACATGTATGTGAACGTTGCACAAACTTCTGTAACAACGCGAGGACGAGGTGGTGAGGTACTTTATACAATACAATACTGGCTTATACATTTAGAGCCAGAATTCCTCTTAAAAAACAATACTCCAGGTATACCTTGGATATGGGAAATACAAGCATCTAGGGAATCATTGACAGTAAGAGTTAACATGATGTTTCTGGAAACTGATTATGTTATGCGAGATATTATAATGAAGCCTAGTCTTGTAGATATCCAGGAAGGAAAGGAAAGACTTAGATTAACATGTAGTACACATATAAGTTTACCCCCTGAGTCTGTAATGACATGGAAAAGGGAAGGAATGTTTTTGGGTAGTATGTCACATACAACGCCAAAGGTTATTCACAGAGGTGTACTAGGAAAGGTGGATTGGTCGGAAGAAATGTTTGTTTTCTATTTAGACAATCCTACCTACAGTGATAGTGGAAACTATCAATGTTGTATAATGTTAAGAAATCATCATGAGAGATGTGGTGATGTTAAGGTAAATGTATTCCCTCCCAGAATGGTAGAATGCAAAAATAAGGTTTTTAAGTTATCAAGTCCCTTTCAATTGAATCATTTTCAATCAAAGCCTTTGTTATTAGATGGGAAATTTGCAACAATAGTTTGGCATTTCAATGTTTCACAGTGGAAAATCTCAAGTAAATTTCCACAATGTAAGGAACATTTATTAAATATGGAACGAGGCTTAGAACATTGGTTTGGAGGAAGTAAAGTATCAAACAGAAAAAAAAGAGATATAGTAGAAGGAATTATGGCTGGATTTGGTACTATAGGAAGTATCACCAATTCTATGGATATTCAAACATTAAAGAATGATTTGGGAACTGTAGGGTTAATAGGGGGAAAAGGATTGCATATTCAAAGAGGTTTAAATCAAATATTGAAAAATATGGTTATGAACACAGCCTCTGTTATTGCACCCTCTGTTCAACATTTACAGGAAGCTACTTTGGCATTAATGAGAAATGCAGATTCATCCCAGGTAGCCAAAGCTTGTTTAGAGATACAAGTTGAATATTCTACAGATTTTAAGGTGATGGCACAAGCATTACAAGGTGGTACTACTCCTATAGAACTCAAACGTAGTTTACCTGAGGAGTTTTCGTTCGCTAAAAATCATACAGATTTATGGGTTAACAAATGGTTGGGATGTAACAATGATATATGTATAAGTTCTTCTTTAATACCAATTTCTGGTATTGAAAAAACACTATTTTCAATGTCGGTATTAGGAATTCCTATTAGTAACACACAATTATTATTTTATAAATTACAATATCCTGATTTTGTATCTTATAATAACATTACTGAACTTGAGCAGGTAGATCTTTCTAGGTGTCTACATTTTCCATCCAAAATAATATGTTTAAATAACCAAGTTGAAACCATTTATCATTCATGTTTTCATAACCAAAGTTCATGTTCTGGTAAAATTAAAACAGTTAAAAATCCTCATGAAATTGTAACTCCCATAGAAAAAGACAAAGTATGTGTACAGGTTATGTCAAATAATGAGTTAGTAAGAGCTACATTTTCAGAATGTACACATTCAGAAACATTACAGAAAGGGTTATATTGTATCAATGGGGGTCCACTAATAATACATATACAAGGAACTCAAGTTAACATATCAAAGAGTCCTATACAAGAGATAGATATCATGCCTATTCAATTAAATGTTTCACAAACAAATGAGTTTCCATGGAGAAAGTGGGCAGATGAGATTAGGAAAGACAAGATATTATTATATTCGTTACAAAAACAGTTGAAAGAAACAGAAATTCAATTTGAACATGAACAGGGTAAATTAAAGGAGATAGAACATGAATGGTCAATTGTTTCTAGTTCCTCTTGGTGGAATGACATAATTAAAAGTACAAACACACTTGCTAAATCATCTGTAGGATCAGCAATTGTAAATATTTTATTTCATCCATTTATTATTGTTATATGTGTATCTATAATATGTATTGTTGTACAAGTAATTATGCAATGTAGAATTAGAAAACTGTATATACTCATAAATGAAAAGGTAAAACAGAAGGAGAATACCCTAAAGGAAACTGTAAACAGGGTAATACACAATACTTCCAAGGAATCTCAGATACCGGGTAGCTATGAACACATCTCTTCTTATACCCAACGAATGTGATATGAAATGTGATACGAATGATGTATGAATGGACAGGTAAATAACATTATTATGGTTTATAAATAAACCATAAACAGAGGGAAATGTAGAATATTGCATATTCTGTATGTTCCTATTCAAATACATATTAAGGTGTGGCTGTCTAATGGGTTAAACAGAACAGATGGTGTTTGCTACTCTGTAATATGAGGTCTCTGGAATTTCCTGTATAAGAGATTTGAGGCGGTCTTTATATAGGGAACTTCCTTATATGGCAGGGTCTAAACTAAACATTATGACGTAATTTGGGGTATATAGAGTCAAGGACAAAGGATTACGGGCTCTCTTCCTGCTACGATCCGTTTGCTCTCCTCTCTGATGTCAAGACGACTCTCTGTAACATCGTTAAGAATTACCATCTGTTAAGTATATATAACTGTTTCCTGTTGAATGTAGAATAAATACTAATTTTTTATAAAGAACGTCAGATTGCGTATTACTAATTTTCAATAATATAGACATATATTATTGTGGCGAGCATTTGGCCCAAGACGTATGTATATCAATCAACTGAAGACAAGAAGAAATATCTATATATATAAACATACAAGACTTATTCAACTATAGAAAAACACAGCCAGTTATTACAGGTACCTCCGTTAAAGGATGCTCCTAGCGCTTCCTGAGGACTCCAAGCACTGCAGCAGACACCACAACCACCGAACCGGAGAAGCATATGAATCCTCTCAAGCATATGAATGCTGTAGACAGTTGAATAGGAACCATACGAATAGGCTTACTCTCCTAGCAGTCAAACTGGAACAGCATACAATAAATCCTTCCCCCAATAATGAGACGACACTTCACTTTGAGGGTTGAAACAGGAACTCACTGTACTGTCACATACAGTCTCTTTTATTCCCAATCCACAAACATAGTACAGCCCACAGGGCGTTACAAAACAGCCAATCAATCCATACAATACACCCAGACACTCCCACACAAAATCCTCCCCTCTGGCTGTGATATGATTACTGAACACAATGGGTAATCTAATTATCACAGCCAGAGAAATACAGTTTCATAAAACACATCACAGGGACCCCAAAACATGCATATAACCCCCCAAGTATATCCTTAGAATTGGGGGATCTGGGTGAACCACATATCCAAAATTCACCCAGATCCGTTCAGTACTTTGGAAAATACAGTTTAATGCAGATTCTGCAGAACATATACAGGCTAAATAAAAAACAATCACTGTATAATGTGTCCCCTGCTGTATAGTCCAAAACCACCGCACGATGTCTCTGTGCAACAAATACTGGCGAGATGGCACCGTGTTGAAAAGTCCACACAGTGTCTGTGAGTTAAAATGGCCGCCATCCATTGTTCTCACCATGTGCTTCTGATACAGGAAATGGTGGCCACCCAGTAACTCCACAGTATGTCCCCAGATGGTTCTTAAAGGGCCAGCAGCAGCACAACACAAAACCATTATGCCCAAATCATGTCTTTAAAGGGCAATACATCCCAGGGGCCATAGTCACATGGCAGGAGGCTGGCAACCAGGCTTCTCCAGTGCATAGTGGCGAGGTTGGTTCCGCCACAGTATGTAACTATCTACGAGGGTGGGAGGCAGTTTGATTGAAATAGCTTTTGATTTCAGTAAATATGCTGCAAACACAACAAATGACAATTTTCAGTTCTTTACAACCTAAGTGTTTTGAAACTTACTGTGCGTAATCATTTGGAACAGTGCATTGTACGTTTATGTTTGAAAAAAATACTGTTATCATTAGGAGGTTTGTTCAATAAAATTTGAATTGCACTCTTAATAGTTGATAACATGAGAATTATGCTGACTTATTTACATCAATTATTTAGGTAAATGAGAAAAATATCATTTGCATAATAATTTGGAACAGGGTGTAGTAATTTTTTGGTGGAGTGCAAGATTTTAATAATTAAGAATACAATATAAAATAAGGATTGTCTTGGAAGCAATAAAGCTTTGTCCTTTAGATATTTATTATATAAATATAGACATATAAAATCCATTAAAACAATTTATAGCAGAGTTTATAAGATTAAACTGAATGCTTGCAAATATCATTAATAGATTAACATACCCTCCTGAACAGGTCAACATTAGAGTTGAGCGGACACCTGGATGTTCGGGTCCCGCGGCTTAGGCTGAACTTTGAAAAAAAGTCTGGGTTTGGGATCGAACTTGACCCCGAACCTGAAGCGAATCTCTTTCACTGTTCAAACTGAGCTCAACTCCTGATGCATGGAGAAAAGGCCTTCACAAGCCTCTGCTATTGTTTACGTAGTTTATACTAAGTGACCCATAGGATGAGAAGGCGGTGACCGTGGCGGTGTAGGTTGAAGCGACGGTGGAGGAGGAGGTAGCCAACACTGTTTATATATATATATATATATATATATATATATATATATATATATATATATATATATATATATATATATATATATATATATATATATATAATTATTTTATTTTTTTTAATTGGGGTAGCCCCAAAAATATTGGGACATAAAAAAAAAAAGAAACATTTGCGGCCTGTGGTGCATTTCTTGCAGTCCTGATGCATGGAGACTTGCTCAACTCCTGATGCATGGAGAAAAGGCCTTCACAAGCTCTGCTATTGTGTACATAGTTTATACTAAGTGACCCATAGGATGAGGAGGTGGGGACCATGGCGGTGTAGGTGGAAGCGGCGGTGGAGGAGGAGGTAGCCAACACTGTTTTATATATATATATATATATATATATATATATATATATATATATATATATATATATATATATATATATATATATATATATATATATATAATTATTTTATTTTTTTTAATTGGGGTAGCCCCAAAAATATTGGGACATAAAAAAAAAAAGAAACATTTGCGGCCTGTGGTGCATTTCTTGCAGTCCTGATGCATGGAGACTTGCTCAACTCCTGATGCATGGAGAAAAGGCCTTCACAAGGCTCTGCTATTGTGTACATAGTTTATACTAAGTGACCCATAGGATGAGGAGGTGGGGACCATGGCGGTGTAGGTGGAAGCGGCGGTGGAGGAGGAGGTAGCCAACACTGTTTTATATATATATATATATATTTTTTTAATTGGGACATATAAAAAAAGATAACTCTGTTCCGCAGAGCGACTGACCCATGTGTACTGCAGCTGAAACTCCTCTATCGCCTGCTGCTGCTCGCACAGTCTCATGAGACGGTGAGCGGGAAGGCCGAAGTTACGCTGCAGCACAGACAGGCAAGCAGCAGCAGGGTGAGAACGCCAAAAGCTCACACAGACGGCCTGCACTTTCTGCAGCAGCTCTGATATATCTGGGTATACACCGTGGTGGTGTAGGAGGAGGAGGTAGCCAACACTGTTTTAAAAAAAAAAAAAATTCTTGGAGTAGCCCCCAAAATATTGGGACATATAAAAAAACAAAAAACAAAGAATAAGTGCACTTGAGTATAACAATGGCTGGGTGAGAATGGTATAAATGTCTATTCTGCACAAGGTACAGACAAGTCTGGTGGGATCCATGCCTGGTTCATTTTAATAAACGTAAGCTTGTCCACATTGGCTGTGGACAGGCGGCTTCGCTTGTCTGTGACAACGCCCCCTGCCGTGCTAAACACACGTTCAGACAATACACTGGCTGCAGGGCAGGCCAGCACCTCCAAGGCATAAAGGGCAAGCTCAGGCCATGTACCCAATTTGGAGACCCAGAAGTTGAATTGGGCAGACCCATCAGTCAGTACGTGTAGGTGTGTACACACGTACTGTTCAACCTTGTTGCTGAAATGCTGCCTCCTGCTAAGACGTTCTATATCAGATGGTGGTGCTGGTTGTTGTGGAGTGCTGACAAAGCTTTTCCACATTTTGGCCATGCTAACCTTGCCTTCTGAGGTGCTGGCGGTGCCCCAGCTGCGTTGGCGACCTCTTCCCCTTCGCCTTGTGCTTCCACTGAGCACCCAGTGTCAGTTGGGAAGGCCCTTAAGCAGCGCGTCTACAAGCGTGCGCTGGCAGTCGCGCATCTTCCGATCACGCTTCAGTGAGGGAATTAAGGACGGCATGTTGTCCTTGTAACGAGGATCCAGCAGGATGGCCACCCAGTAAGTCAGCACAAGTTAGAATGTGGGTAACTCGGCAGTTGTTGCGCAGGCACTGCCCAGGCTGCCCAGAGGCAAGGACAAGCTGTCCTCTGTGGGAGGTGTATCGTCTGTGTCCTCCGTATCCACCAAGCCATGCTCCAGTGATGCCCACGAGCTGTGTTGGGTGCCAGCCTGCTGTGAACATGGTTTCTCCTCCTCATCTTCATCATTCTCCTCCTCATCCTCCAGAACTGTGCCCTGGCTGGACAATTGTGTACCTGGCCTATGGTGGTGCAGGAACCCACCCTCCAAGCCACTTGTGAATGACTGGCCTGATAACCGTGGAAATGACCCCTCTTCCTCCTTTGCCACATCCTCATCCATCATCGCCCGAAGCATTTTTTCAAGGAGACATAGAAGCGGAATAGTAAGGCTGAGAATGGTGTCATCAGCACTGGCCATGTGGGTGGAGTACTCGAAACAGTGCAAAATGGCACACAGGTCTCGCATGGAGGTCCACTCATTGATGGTGAAGTGGTGCTGTTCCACAGAGCGACTGACCCGTGCGTTCTGCATCTGAAAGTCCACTATCGCCTGCTGCTGCTGCTCGCACAGTCTCTCCAGCATATGCAGGGTTCCACCTTGTGGGCACGTCGCATATGAGGCGGTGAGCGGGAAGGGCGAAGTTACACTGCAGCACAGACAGGTGAGCAGCAGCAGGGTGAGAATGCCAAAAGCGCGCACAGATGGCCCGCACTTTCTGCAGCAGCTCTGATACATCTGGGCTGTTTTTCAGGAATTTCTGCACCATCAAATTCAGCACATGCGCCAGGCAAGGGATGTGCAGCAAACCGGGTAGGCTCAGAGATGCTATGAGATTTTGACATTATCGCACACCACCAGGCCGGGCTTGAG